TCGGAATGCGTAATACGGCGCCCCTCTGGCGCCGTGACCTGGTCGTCACCGCTCCATTGGGAAATACTTGTTCACGGTGAACAGGTCTTCAGGATGTTTATCAGTCAACGTACCCCCCCCCCTCCTCCGGTTGCATTGGTTCCCTCTGAGGTTCTTGGTGCAGTGTGCCATTTTTCTGTGCAGTTGGGTACCTTTCGTGCAGCGGGTGTAACAGAGAAGACGTCGGTGTCGGCTGGTTTGCGTCCCTGCATGTGGCTAGTGGCAGTAAGGGAGCAGAGAGTAGGCAAACCCGCACAACAGACGTCTCGTCTACCCGATGCAGGGTCAACTTGAGTTTAATTTTCATAAGAGCTGTTTTTCTACGGACTACAAGATGCACAGCCGCACTGAACGTCTGAACGTGTTAATAAAGTAATGAGTTAGACCGAGGGGAAAACAACTAAGGTAATCCGGCTGACAGCCGATTGGTGATCCGGCAGGTGTAATCCGAGGAAATTTTAGGGAAATCCGGGGTAATGCTAGGGAAAAGGCAACGTACTCCGTACTCCGGAGGATACTCCAGAGGTAATCCTGGTAATCCGTAATTCAAAGAAACCCCGCCCAAAGGCACTCACGTGCACGTGTGATCACACACCTCTGCCCTGGAGTGGCATGCCACCTGCAGTAGACGCATGTCGACATAGACTGACTGAGGCAGACGACAGAAGGTCGGCTGTTACATGAGGGACCACACCGCTACACTTTTCGACGTGACATCACGATGCATACCGCAGTCTGCACCGACCGTACATAGTTGCGCGATACCCCGGGCGACAGTGCCCTTAGGCTCGAGACCTGGCGTATCGTCAGGCCCCGCGTCTGCGCAGTGGCACCGCTATCTCCTGAGCGTAACGACGAGTATCTCTGTCTCTGTCTGTCTCTCTCTCTCTCTCTCTCTCTCTCTCTCTCTCTCTCTCTCTCTCTCTCTCTCTCATGAGCCGAGCAGGGCTCCAGTTCCCACCATTATGATTACTCCACCGCAACGTGACCTGCGAACTCGCAGCCATTTCGTCAACGACTTTCTAAGCCACCATTATTCATTTTTCTTTTAAAAACCGAAAAAATGAGTAATTCCCAAATAAAAGTACCTTTAGCTGTTGTCAAGGTCGTCCTATCATCACACAGAATCAGTCTATTTGTTCCGTCCCCGAAAATTATTATTGCTGAGCTTAACTTGAACTTGAAATTAAACTTTAACTTTAAATGCTCAGCTCTGTCAGGAAGCGCAAGGGGAGACCGCCCGGAAGACGGCGTGAAGTGAGGCGCCTGGCGTGAGACGTGGGCTGTGAGGTGGACAGGCATGCCAACCAAAATCGCGAAAACATTTTAATTTTAGCGCGCCGCAGGCCAAGGTAGACGCACATTTAGCTCAGCTTCACACGGTTTTAACGTGCGTCTACCTTGTTTTAATTGAAATCAAGTATGATACATTTCAAACGTATTGACTCGAGAAGCGTGTTCTTAATTTTGCTGAATATTTTTTGTATAGTTCGTGAGGCCTATGGAATATAAACAGCTTTCGTGTGGCGGTGCCCATTCAAGCTTGTTGTTTTAGGCAGCAAGGCGCATCGTGCATGCAAGGAAGCCCCACTGGCTGGCAGAGGCGACCCTGAAGCCTCTGAATCGTTTACAGACCACGCCATAGACTTTATACGAATTTCAGCTGTTGCCAAATAGAGCATACGCCTATCGCCTTTTGTACGGGCCTATTTTCAACCCCCAGCTTCCCCAGTTCGAAAAATATTCGTAAGCATACAGGAAAATTTCCCATGATGTGAGTCCGTAAAATTACAACTTGAAGTTGTAAAATTACAATCACTTCCTATTGGAATTAATCGACGAGCAAAAATGGTCCGCCGTAAATTTATTACAACATTATTTTGTGATTCCAAATTACAAGAAATGTAATGTCGTAACTTTACGAGGTAATTTTTCACAGTGCCCGGCCGGCACGAGCCGAGCGCCTGCGGATGGCGGGACAGGCAACCGTACGGCGTACAGGACATCCGTGCTCGGCGGGTCGGCCTACCCGGAGAGGCGCTCTCACCGGGGAGCACAGCAAGCTCTGTGTCCCGGGCTGTCAGTCCCCCGAGTGTGCGCCGACTGCAGTCCGAGGGGCCCACAACTTCGGCGGATATTGACGGTTCAAGCAACAATTAGTATTCAACATTATTCAGATGATATTCATTGTTATTAACGATTATTCATTAATATTAGTTTTCTCGATTGTTCAGTAAAGTTTCGGTTAGTATTCACGAATATTTAAATTTTGAGTAGATTCGCAATACACGAAACTTCCGATGCATTTATTCTCGCTGCAGTCTAGGTATTTCGAATGTAACCCCAAGTGTGAGTAACTCCGCGTACTCAGTACTCCTGTGTCGATATCATCTTCAGAGTTCGGGGGGCATCGGAATTAAACCATGTAAACGTATTTTTGCTCTTTCAAAAAATTGCAAAAACACTTTATTTTTGTGAACGGGTTGGAGCGCGATGGCCGTGCCATGCGGGGCACACGGGCTGGACAAGTCTGGATCGGCTATCGCACAGCGCGGTCGCCGCGCCGCGCCACGCCGCGCCACCAGGACAAGCACGACGGCGGCTATCAGCAGCGTTCAAAGCTTGTTCCTTTTTAGAGCAGCGCACCGAGGAGGGAAAATTCAGCTCCGAAAGTAGTAAAAAAGGCTGCGATGGCGCCTTGGTCGGTGGCGCCGCCGCCGGTGGTAGCGTGCCGCGGTGCTGGCCAGGCAGGGCCGCGCGGCCCGCGCGCGCTTAGCGGTCACGATGTGGGCAAGCGCGCGGACACCTGACGTCAAAAAGTGCAGCGCCGGTGACGGCGACGGCCTCTCCTTTGAGTGGGGCGGTCAGCCGGCCGGCACCGAGCCATAAACATACGAGCGTGCCTCGCAAGCACTGGTCCACTCATAAAGGTGTGTGTGTGTGTGTGTGTGTGACAATCCATCACTTTGCAAAGCGTATGAGGTGAGAAATAGACGTGATGTGACGACATACCTACTGACACACATACACACACACAAGTGTGCTGCAAAACCGCACACTTACGACTCCCAAACACTACATCTGTGCGTGACGAGGTTATATCGCACACACTTTTTTTTCTAACTTGGCACGTATGGGAAGGGCAGGAAGGAAGGAAGGACAGTCGAGGCTGCTGCTGTGCCGACGACGCGGCGTTTGATAATGATAAAAGGAAATAGCCCCGAGTGAAATGTTTGGAACGAGGTGGAGAGAGAGAGAGAGAGAGAAAAAAAATGAAATAGAAACTCGCGGTGCGCCTCGGCGACCGCCTCCGGATAATTAACGGCCCGGTGTCGTAACGATGCAACAACGTTTGCCATTCCATATTTATGGCCGCCGATACTCCCATGATGCTGGTAGCGGCATGCCGCGCGCATCGTCCGTCCGTCCGTCTGTCTCCCCACAGGTCCGTGGGTCCGTCCGTCCGCCCGCCCGCTTGTTGGTCGCGTCGAACAGCGAACAGCCTCTTCACTTCCGATATGCCGGCCTGTTCGTTCCCTTTCCGGTTTCGTGCCGACAATGGCCCGGTCGGGCCGGCCGGCCGGGCGGGCCTCGGGGGCCTCATAGCTGCCGGCGAGCGAGCGAGAGAGAGAGAGAAAGAGAGGGAGAGAGAGAGAGAGAGAGAGAGACTATCGGCAAGCTAGCGAGTGCGACAGAGAGCGCACGCCTGGGAAAGTAAAGGCCGAATTGGAGGTGAGAGAAGGGGATAGGGTGCGCACTGAGCGAGCGCAGAAGAGCCAATGAAGGACTTTGATTGTCGATGTTAAAGAGGTGATTTATTTATTGGACGGGTTGAATTGATATGACTAGGCCATTACTTTAAAGCCCGTGTGAAGGCGCCCTCCTATATACACGTCAAAATTATGAGGCTTTCCCATCTCTTTAAAAAGCAAGTGCAAAGCAAAATATTTTTTTAAAAAATCGTTTGACGAGGCTTTGCGCTGGCGACATCGCGGCGAGCTGCGATAGCGCCGACTTGGCGAGGTGCGAAGTCGCGGGGAGCGTACAGTTCATTGTCACGGGGCGATGCCTTTTAGCACCCACCTCCACGCCACGCCACGCCACGCCACGCCACGCCACGCCACGCCACGCCGCGCCGCGCCCCCATTCGCCAACACCACCACACTATCCGCGGCCCACTATCACGCCCATTGATTGATCGCATACCGCAGACCGACTGGCCGAGGTGCGATTAACGCAACACTCGAGAGCAGCAGCTGCAAGAGTCATGGCCAGCTGGGGGCTCAACCAGCTGAGGGCTCAACCAGCTGTGGAGCCGGAGCGAGAACGACTATCACCTCTCCCAATTTTGGTGCTTGCTTACTTTGCAATACCGTTGGTTTTTTTTGTTGCTGTTTTTTCTATATATTTTTGTTTTTTATTTTTGCTTGAGCCTATTGATTTTCTTTAGGTTTTTCGTTAGTTCTCTTATGTTTCGCTACGTAGTGGATTGTTCAATCCACGGTTGATTATTAGTAACCAGCTGCAGGGACGCAACCAGCTGCGGGACACAATCATATACAGGGCACAACACAACCTGGTGCCAGCTGCGGGACACAATCATGTACAGGGCACAACACAACCTGCTGCCAGCTGCGAGGCACATTTTGCCTCATAGCGGCGCAATTACGAACGCACGTCTCATTCAGCCACTGATTCTCCCGCACTTTCCCATAAAGCAACCGATGATGGCGACGACCATACGCAGTTACGAAAAGGAAAGACTGCATATTTCTCGAGAATTTTTTCTTTGCACTCGCAGCAGATTTATTTTTTATTTTATAGTCTTAGATTTTAGCGTATTCAGATTCAGACTGTCACGACTTTGCTTGGTTAGGGTGGAGCGTAAATGGTTATGTTTAGTCTAAGTGTAAGGTATCATCTCTGCTCAAAACTAACGTTCATGTTCTATTCTCTTGCAGACGAGGAGTGGAACGAGGAGCCGTCCGAGGACTCGCTGTTCCTGGTGCAGCCCGGGCGGGGCGCGGGCGGGGCGCTGTCGGGGTGGCGGGGCTCGCACGCCTCCGCCGAGCTCAGCCTGCCGCGGGCGCGCCGCGTGCACTCGCCAGCAGCCTCCCCGTCGCCCACGTCCCCCGCCGCCCCCGGCTCCCTCGGCAGAGACCTCAGGGACCACCCCCTGGCCGCGCCCCTCCCCGCCACCGCCGCCCCCGGCCCGCGCCGGAGGCACGCCAGCCCCACATCGCCGCTCGACAGGTAAGTCGATTGGGGTAAATCACAAGGTGCTTAATTCGCTGCGTCCACATTTTCAGTTAAGTTACACTGTTTTTGCTTATTGCCTCTGAGCACGGTCCCCTATTAGGGATCATCTAGAAAGTACGTCCGTTTCTCTCAGGTGCATTCGGCAAAATACTGGAGCTCAGCGCCTGCGAGACTCTGGGTAGGCTACCCCGCCACACACGCGTGCACTGCAGGCAAGATATTGCCTATCTACCAGGCGCTATGAGCGCTTACAGATGCTGAACTTGGTAGATTCAGATTCGTGCGAATGATGGACGTACTTTCTGCGTATAAAATTATGTAAAAAATCTACAGAAAATTTTTACCATACGAGTTTATCATAATGTACTCATTAGTGCACAAAGTCTGCAAGGTCTGTATGTATCGATATGTCGGCAATTATGCAAAAACACTGCGTAGACGTTTAGAGAGTGGGCAAGCGAATCAGCGACTTTGTACATTCTAGGCTACTGTAGAGTACTCTCTAGGCTGAGTAAAAATCAAAACCTGCTCTCTCCATCATCAACCGCTCTCTGTCCGACAGGCACCACTCTCGTGAGGAAGAAGAGGAGCTATCCCGGACGCGGGTGCGGCGACCACCCGCCGACGAACGACAGCGCGCACCCAGGTCGCCGAGGTCATCGCCGAGGTCTCCGAGATCGCCCCGGGCGGTGGCCCGTTCGCCGCAGCGCTCCCTGTCCCCGCCGCCGCACCGCGCCGCCCCCGGGGGCGGGCCTGGGGGCGGGTCCGCCCCTCACGGACGCAAGGGAGCGCCACAGCTCGCCGCCTCTTCACTCGCGAGCCCCATGTCGCCGAGGGAGCGCTTCCAGGTAAGCAAACGGCCAACGGCCAGGTCGCTGACATAAGCGCGCGAGCACGTTTAGTCTGGCGGACCATCTCAACGTTCTTGTACGAGCAGTTTCATTTCGCGAGTAGCGTCCGCCATATAAGTGCGGCGTCACTTCAAACAGGAGCGAGCCCTGGCCGGCCTGCTCCACCGGCTGGGCCGTGCCGGGCCGGGCCGGGCCGGGCCTCTCACCAGCCTGCTCGGCACGGCACGGCGCGGCGGGTAGGATGCGAGCTCGCTAAACGAACCTGACCATTTGCAGGACGCCAAGGAGAAGTTCCTTTCACTGGAGCGCGAGCGGCTGGAGGAGCAGGAGAGGGTGATGCAGCTCAACCTGGAGAAGCGGCGGTCCGGGCCGCAGCAGCCGCCGCTGCACCAACAGCAGTCCGCGCCGCAGTCGCCGCACAGCCCGCCGGTACGGCTTCCTCTCTCCGCTCTGCCCGGCGCTGCCTGGCGCGGTATGAGAAATGAACAAGGCCGTTACAAGCGTCGTTTCGTTCCAGATCGTGGAGCCGCCGATCAGCCCCGCCATGGGGCCGTGCCCGAGGCCGCGCCCCCGCCCCCGACGGCCGTCGTGGTCGCGGTCGAGGGACGACTCGGAGGACGAGGTGCCGGACAGCGGCAACCACCACGCGTCCCGCTACTACCCGGACGACGACGAGGACGACGACGTGGACTTCTCGGGCAACGCGCTGCCGACGGGCGGCCGCCAACGGATCATCGCCGCCGTCAACCGACGCATGTCGAGGGAGTCGCTCGAGGACGACGTCGACGACTTCGCGCCCCAGCCGACCAGATCGGCGCCGACGTCGCGCTCCGGACCACCCCGACACGAGTACCCCGCAGGATACAGAGGTGGCGACGTTCCCGCTAGATCCGACCACCCCGCTAGGGACCACCCGGGCAGGGATCATCCAGTCAGGGACCACCCCGTCCGGGAACACCCCGTCAGAGATCACCCCAACAGGGATCACCCTAGCAGGGATCACCCCGCAAGAGACCACCCCGCAAGAGACCACCCCGCTAGGGATCATCCCACCAGAGACCATCCAACCAGGGACCATCCCAACAGGGATCACCCCACTAGGGACCATCCTGCCAGAGAACACCCTATCCGGGACCACTCCGGAAGGGACCAGATACCAAGAGTCGAACATCCGAACAGAGGGGACCATTCGTCGAGAGGCGACCACCCCGCGCGCAGCGACAATCCTGCGAGGCCCGACCACCCTGTCCGGGACCTGCCAGGCAGGGATTACCCCGGCAGGGAGCCGCCAGTGAGAGATCACCCGAGTAGGGATCACCCCGGCAGGGATCACCCCGCCAGAGGCGAGCACCCTGGTCGGGAGCAGCCCAGCAGAGGCTCGGGCGGCGACCTCCGCGCGGCCGTGTCGCGCTCGCGCAGTGTGCACCGCGACCGCGCGCTCGAGGACAGGTTCCGGAGCCCGGCCCGCGGCTACCCGTACCCGATGGAGCCCCTGATGGACGAGGGCCAGCGGTACCGCATCCCCTACAACGAGGACATGGACATCCCCCTGGAGCGCTACCGCAGCAGCAACAACCCCCAGCCGAGGCCGCCCGGGCCGCCGCTCGGCCCGCCGCTGGGCCCCCGGCACCCGTACCCCCGCGAGCACGACGACGACGAGCCCCCGCACCCGCGCGGCGACCCCCGCGCCTACCTGGCCGACAAGAAGCGCCGCAGCGTGTTCGAGGCCCTGGAGGAGGAGCGGCGCCGGCACTCCAACGAGCTGGCGCAGGAGTTCAAGCGGCGGTCGTACCAGGAGCTGGACGAGCGCGAGCGGTACCCGGGCCTCGACCGGGAGACGGCCAGGGAGCCGGGGCCGCCGGGGCCGCCGCCGGGCCACCGGACGCAGGTGTCGGCCAGGTACAGGCACAGCTACGCCGAGCCGCCCCCGCGACACCACGACCTCCTGCACCGTGCCAACAGCGCGGCGTCCTCGCCCAGGGTGGGCATCGCGGCCGTCCACCCGTACTGAGGGGGCTCCGGCCAAACTCCACGGGGACCCTTTGATGACCACTTTGAGGACTGCCTACGAGGCTAGCCCACCGCCTCCACTGCTCAAACAAGTCGTCTCTCAAACGCTCAATGTGGACCACTATTACTGATAATCACGTGCCAAAACAACATGTAGTGTGCTGGGAATAATATGATTTACTTTGCGATTGTTCTCTAATTGTAAGTCGTCAATGTAAACTTGATATGGATATTGCTTGCGGTTTCTGGCCTCAGTATGTGCTTTTGCTGTTTTGTAAAAGTTGTTATAATGAGGCTATTGAGAAAATATTTTGCAACTATCAAGTAAGGTATTTGCTGATTATTTTATAAGTTTAAGTGATGAGGTGGGATTTGTGATGTTTTTTGTATATTCTGGTCTGTTAAAATAGTCTTTAAAATATTCCTGAATGCTTATTGGTCCTCCATCAAGTACTACGGGGAGAAGATTAATTGGAAGTTTCTCCCAATTAACTCAGTTTAAAAATTTCACATTTGAAGCACAAAAGTAAATCTTACATTGTAAGTTCAGGAATCATATTTATTGAATATTCCATGACAAGTACTGTACCCCTTATTAATTATGTAAACTTACAGTCATGTGAGAAGAACTTCTCTTAAAAGATGTGTCTTTACTAAAAAAAGATACAAAAATTGTGAACAAGTATGAACTCTCACAGTTGATAAACATAATTTTTATGATGCTCAATATAGTAGCCTTTGTTGAATCATTGAATTGAAAGTGTTCCAACCATGATGAATAACTATTCAATGAAGTATAGCTGTCCATTCTTAAAAGAGAAACAGAGATCGACTGAAGTATAGTGAGTTGTATGAGGAAGGAGGGAAGTACAGTGGAGAAGAGGACATGGTATTTAGAAAATTTTGAAATATTTTTGCTGGCCTGAGCAACAAATGATAAGAAAGTTTCTCTCCACTTGTTAAGTCTATGATTTTTGCATTTTATTATGTAATAGTTCTATTAATAACTGTATTTTTACATTGAATTTATGTAAATATGTGTATAGACGCCATTGAGAGAAGAGAGTTGTCCCTCTACCCCTTTTATACTTTGTTTAGAACTGCATATTTAGTTAAGGAAAAATGATAAGACATTCCACGCAGCTCTCATCCTGTATGACATGTTTTTAGTCTTGAATTGGAAATTTGGTAAAACCCCCAATAGTGTGACCCAAAGCTCTCTATTTGTGATTCCGGGGAAGTACCACATACTCATAACGTGTCACCGTGGGGTCCTTATGTTTCTGTGTTACTCTGTGCCAGAGGGGAATGTGAATTGGTCCAAGATCCAATGAGGTGAATTGTAAGAAATTGTTAAAGTGTTTGTAATAATAAAAGAAAATAGAAAAAAAAAGAGTTTTGTGCGTTCCCTTCAATTCTGCGGTCCCAAAGAGCTCCGGCGGACATCTTATTACTGCTTTTAGCGAGAGTGGAATACACCCCACGGGGCTAGTCCTCCCTCGCCCTAACAAGATCGCCCCCCGCCCCCTCCCCTCCCGCCTCCCACCGCAACCCCGCTCCGAAGGGGGTGGGGTTTCTTTGGCTGCGCTGCGGCCCCGCTCGGCGGCCAGTAGGGCGGCGGCGCGAGGACAGTGACCGCAGGGCGGCAGGGCGGCAGGGCGGCCACTCGGCGAGCGGGGCGCGCGGGGACCAGCGGCAACGGTAAGGCAAGGACTTGACCCTTAGGGGGTCGTCCGTCCGCGAAGCACATGGGCTGAACCTCTATGGTCTCCCCATTTCTTTGGTCGGATCTCGCCGCACCGATTCGGGAATTCATTTCGATGATGTCACCTCAAGGTCGTGGCCAGTAAAGTAATAAGGGGAGGGTCGGCTCTGCCGCTCCGCAATCGTGTGTAGCTCGCACTGCTCGTGGGCCGAACGCAAGCGCCGCGCGGTCATGCGAACAGCGGATGTGGACGGTGACGGACGTCCCTGTTTGTAGCTACACGATTGTAGCTAGGGCCGACAGGGTCCGAGTCAGCTTAAACTGAACCGTCTAGAGACGGATTCATTTCTTCCGCCAATGCTAGAATACCAACCAGAAGTAAAAACAGCGCAAGGAAGAAAGCAAAAACAAAAGCGCTCGGAGGGACAGCCTTACGAAAGAGCAAGGGCCTGGAAAGCGGGACCCAGTTCTGAACTCTCGGACGACAGCTGGAGCCGACAGCCGAGTGGCGAGCGTGCTGGGGCTTGGTCCACGGCCCACCGCACCGCCTGGCGAGGGTTCGATTCCTAGTCGAGGCGAACATTTTTTGCGGGGCCTTCTGAGAAGGTGGTCAGTCAGGTCCACTTCAGACAGACGCACAAGCGGACACGGTCCCCCCACGTGCAGTCAGTGGCGGAGTGTATTAAAGCGTATACATCTGACCGCAATGGCGTGGGGTCGACTCCCGGTCGGGGCGCGCTGTATGCCAACCTTTTCAAATACCAGTTTTACAATAAAAAAAGTAGCAAGTTGCGTTGATGCGTGTGCTTCGGCCCCGGATCGAATCCAGGCCTTGGCTAAATATTTGGGGGTTTGTTCCAGGTGGCGGACGAGGTCTCCCCGCCAGCAGTCAGTGGCCGAGTGGGTAAAGGCGTCAATGACTGATCTCTTCGGTGTGGGAACGACTCCCACCCGAAGCGGGCGGTCCACGACTTTTCTCGCTCCTCCGCTCTCTATTGCGAAGGGGCGAACGCACAAACAAGACTCTCGCAGCGACCGACAGTATCGTGGCGCCGTAGCTGAGTCGGTAAAGCGCCAGCTCGGAGAACCGATGGTCAAGGGTTCGAAGCCCACTAGTAATTCGTTTTCCACTTTCCGTTTGCAACGGCCGGGCGAAGGCAGCTCAAATATGATCCAGACGCCGTTTTCTCTCGCCGCCTAGGTAGTGTAGTGGTATCGCGCTCTAGCTGGCTCCGTCCCCCCGGGGGTCGTTGGTTCGAATCCTCGGACCGGCGGCCCTCTCCCCTCCCCTCCCTCCCCCCGGGGCAAGCGATGATGAGGAGCGATACCACTGACACCGAAGCTCATTTTGCGATCTGAACACAGACTAACCTAACCTAACCTAACCTAGAATTTTAAAAAAAGGGCAAAATGGCACACGTAAGGTGGAGTCGACAGCCGAGTGGCGAGCGTTCCGGAGCTTGGTCCACTGTACACCACCAGGCGTTATTTGAGTATCATTCAGCAGAATACGACTCTAGACAAAGTTTGCAGATTTAGGAAAATTATATATCATGATCTGATTTTGATGGGCATATCCTACCTGAGTTTGCGATATTGGCTCTAATATTGTTTAGTCCCTTTCAAATCCATAGGTATAGTGAAATGAAGTTGTGTGACTAATAAACGTTTTGACATGTCCTATTCAGAGATTTGGTGGCTTCCAAGCATATGCACATGTAAACACTTCTATTTGAAATTTAAAAACTTTGTTTTTGTTCAGACATTACAAAATTTCAGGTTTAGTACCACGTGTGGACTCCTCTTTACAAATTGAATAGAAAATGTCTAATGTTCAGAGCCGATCAGAGTCGAAATGGCAAAATTAATAGACACCAAAGGGGAAAAAGTATGCAAAAACGACCAAATTGTCAATTTGGGGGGGAATAACTCTGCCATTTCGATTCCGATCATCTTTGGGCATAGGACATTTTCATTTTCTTTTATCAAGGGGAACCCGAAGCAATAGTTACCTTTTCGCATTTTTCCCGTACCACTACC